GATTGAACCCACGTCCCCTACATTGGCAGGCGGATTCTTAACCCCTGGACCACAAGGGAAGTCCCTTGACTTTTTTTAACATATTTTTTATTCTATTAAAATCAGTCAGCGGTCTGATAATTCAATGCTGCTTATAGAATACTGTTGTTGAGTTTTCATTACACTGGTTGTTAAAGTCAGAAAAGGTTAATAAAATATAGGTTGCTTTTAGACTTGAAAAGGTTGTTTTCAATAAACATTGAATTGTAAAAGGAAAAAAAATCCTCTGGGTACAGTCACACTTGGCATTTAGTAGTTCTAAAACATAAATTTCAGAAAAGGCAACAGTTGGTCAGGAGGTTAAGCCAGACAAATACTGGATCTGCTGGGCATAGCTAGTTGTTTTTTCATCCCAGTTAAGGAATGTGAAATGCAACACACGAGAGCTGGGCCGCACCAAATTCAAAGTCTTATTTCCTAACTATCTTAACTAGACCTCTCTGCTTAAACTGCCCCAACTTCGTGGCTTAATACACAGCCGTCTTCTTTGCTCACAATTTTGAGGACCAGCAGTTTGGTCTGTGTTCAGCTGTGTGGTTCTTATCTGGTCTTGCCTGGGTCACTCTGACAATTGCAGCCATCAGGCATGCCTGGTCTAGGACGGCCTCACTCACAGATCTGGGGCTGGTGCCAGTGGTAGGTGGGGCCTCTCTCTCCACGCGGTCTCTCATCTTCACGGACTAGCCCAAGCTTTTCCACTTGACAGTCCCAAGGTTCCAAGAGAGGGAGATCTCTCATGAAGTCGCTTTCTCAGCATTCTACCAAGCAAAGTACAAGGCAAGCCTAAATTCAAGGAGGGGATAAATAGTCCTCATCTCTTGATGGGAAGAGATACAAAGTCACACTTCACAGTAGTGTGCATACAGGGGAAGAATGTGTGGCTATTTGTTTCCCAATCTGCTACACTAATAATAGCTCAAAATTCAGCAACAATACAGAAAAAGATTGATCCATTTGATTACATTAAAAACTAAAAATCTCTTATACGACAAAAACATTATAAGTAAATTAAGAAGATGAATGACAAACTTGAAAAAATATTTATAACTTACAGACAAAAGTTTACTATCTCGGGACTTCCCTTGTGGCGCAGTGGTTAAGAATCCGCCTGCCAGTGCAGGGGACATGGGTTCCAGTCGTGGTCGGGGAGGATCCCACGTGCCGTGGAGCAGCTAAGCCCGTGCATCACAGCTACTGAGCCTGTGCTCTAGAGCCTGCAAGCCACAACTACTAAGAATGCATGCCACAACTACTGAAGCCCATGCGCCTAGAGCCCGTGCTCCGCAACAAGAGAAGCCACCGCAATGAGAAACCCGCGCACCGCAACGAAGAGTAGACCCCGCTCGCCGCAACTAGAGAAAGCCCGTGTGCAACAACGAAGACCCAACGCAGCCAAAAATAAATTAAAAAAAAAAAGTTGACTATCTCTATTATATAAAGAGCTTCTAAAAAATAAAAAAAAGGAGAGGATTGACAACACTATAGAAAATATACTAGAGATATGAACAGATAGTTTGCATAAAAAGAAATGTACATGGCCCTTAAACAAATGAAAAACTGTCCAACCTCCCTCTTAATAAAGGAAATGTAAATTAAGAGTACACTGAGATATTTTTTTATCTATCACATTTGACAATATACTCTCACAGGAAACAGGTACCCACATATATTGCTGTTTTGGAAATGCAAAATGGCATGACTCTGTCTACTTAAAGGCTTAGATACAGTGACCAACCCAGTAGCAATCAACATCCCTTAATCACCCAGATTATAGTTTAAATCCTTAAATCCTTAAATACTACAGTCACATTAAAAAGCAGCAGGACTCCTAAAAGAAATAGCTGATTCCAGGTTTGGGGTAGGATATTTACATCTTATCATACCAGAAAGCAAGGAAGCTATCCAAGACTACTAGGTTTGAGGCAGAAAGACTCAGAAAGCACACTTGAAGACTCTCCCATTTGTCAATGATGGGAAAATTGAGCATTAATAAGGGTAATAACTGCAATTGATTAAAGCATATAATTTATATTTAAATCGCTGAGTTCATAATGATACTAAAAAATAATGTCTCGGTCACTTATGGAGCATATGCTAGGGAGCCATCTCATCGTTTTGAAACCTGGAAATAAAAAGAGAGACCCGAGTATTTACTCTATCTTTCCTCTATGAGCTTTACCTCAATGTAATCAAACAGTTGGTGAAAGAAGTTCCCCTTTATAGAAGTAGTCCCGCTAATAAATCATGATAAACTTACAATAGCACCATTTTATAACTCCCAGTGAAATAATGGATCGATGACTTCCAACATCACAAAGAGAAAAACAATGAGTCATTGTGGGTCCCCATGGAAGTATGAAGACCACCTATGAAGTATTCCTGTCCAAACAATAGGCCTAAATCTGATCGAACCTCTAGAGCTAAATGCCAACTGATAGGCAGTACAAGGGAGAGGAACATGTTAAAACAAACCCCAAAAATACATGTGGTGGCAATAAGCAAAACCCAGACTGAAACAAAGCTACAGAGCAAATGACCCAGTTTATTAAAAAAAGATAAATTGCAAGGAGGAACAAAAGGGAGATGAAAGGGAACCTATGGAAAAATAGACTTAAGGACATATTGACCAATTGCAATTCGTGGACTTCGATTCTGAGCCAAAAACAAACTGAAGGGAGGTGAAAACCCTTTATGAGGCAGTTAAGGAAATTTGATTCCTGACTAGATAATTAGCAATACTAAAGAATTATTATTGCTATTATTATTATTTTACGTACAGGTATTAGTAGTAGTAGAAGATTTAAGCGGGTGGGACTTCAGATACAAGATTTGCCAAGAGTTGATAATTGGTAAATCTGGGTGAGGGCACACGAAGATTCCTGACACCGTTCTCTCTACTTTTGTTTGAAATTTTCCACAATATAACATTAAAAGGAAATATGTATATATATATATATATATATTTGTTTTTTTTAAGATGAGGAAGTTTGTGTTTTTGAATGACTCTGAGTGGACATTAATCACGTGGCTTAGCTAGAATTATGGTGATTCATCCTGTGATCATGAGGAAAGTCTACCAAGGATAAAGCCAAAACATTCCTGATAGTATTGGGTTGGCCAAAAAGTTCGTTCGGTTAATGACCATGTTGTTCAATAAAGTTCTCGGTGACAATGACAAACGTGTCTTTTACTTACAACCGAACGAACTTTTGGGCCAACCCAATAGAACAGAATAGAAATAACCTGGTCCTTAACAACTGAGCCACAGAATAGACCAACCTGGCAGCTGCCTGACCTCTGGAGAGCTGGTTAGATAATAACTCTCTCTGTTGTTTAATCTCTTTTGAGTTGGTTTCTGTTATTTGCAGCAGAAGGCATCCTAACTAAAACAGTGGAGAAGAATGCATTTGTGTGTGTGTTGAGGTCGTAGAGTGGTACCGGGTAGTGTCTCTGCTCTATCTTACAGAATGTTTAGTGAAACAGCATCCCTTAATTGCAATGATTAGGTCCTTGCAGTTATTATTTCTCACTAGCTCTCAAATTCCAGAGGGATTAAACCAGCCAGTTTATCATCTTGCACCTATATCCTACCCTAGTTTACCAGGGGTGAAAATCTTAGCAACCGCACTGCTACAGAAGGCCAGGGAATAGCAGTCCTCCACCTACCACCAGGGATGGGGTCCTCATGGCCATCCAGCTGGAGAGTGATACAATTCCAGAACCCTATTCTTAGGGTCTGCTTCCTGGGACCACATGCAGTACAATTATCTCAGGTGGAGTTCCTAGAAACAGAGCTTGAAACAGGAATTTGGAGGCAGGTGGTTTATTAAAGGAGTGCTCCCAGGGGAATAGGAAGGAGGCAAGCGGGACGGAACAGGGGGAGAAAGCTAAGCAAGGATGTAATCTCAGCTGGAAACCAGCCTCGACTGGGAAGCTCTGCGTTGTCCCTCAGCGAAGGCTCCACCTTTTGTATCACCACGGTAGTCGGTCATCAACTGTGAGCTGCCTGGGGTGAGGTTGGGGGCGGGGTGTGTGTGTGACACTCACAGCAGCTAGGATTAAATGTACTGGCCCAGTTAAAGGGATCTAGTCAGAGCATCATAGCATCCACTACCACTTCCCAACTTACCTAAGTAGCCGAAATCTTACTAGACCCTGCGTGCTCTAGCCCACCCTTGCATAACGATTCTTTCTCTCTGAAATCGTCTCCACCGCTCTCCCTCTTTTTCATTCCACTTCAGCCACACACTGGCCACCTTGCAATTCCTCAAATTCTCTAGCATATTCGTGCTTCACATCCTTTACCCTTCTCAGTCCCCTCATCTGGGATGATTTTCCGCTGCTCTCCCAGCAGCCCCGCCCTGCCATGTCCTCATGACTAGGTCCCTTATACATCCTTCACATTTATACTCACAAGACAGCTTCTTAGTAAGGTCTTCTCTGGCTGGCCTAACGAACACTTATAATCCCTTTACTTTCATTATTTTTCTTTTCAAATACTTATCAGTATCTAACATACTATATAGTTGTCTTATTTATCTTGTTTATTATTTATATTTGTTTAGAGTATTTATATATACCCTAGAACACGAGCTGGGAAGGGTAAGAATTTTTATCTTTTTTTTTTAATCTCAACACTTAAAACAGTGCCTGGTAAATTACAGGTGCTCAGTTAACATTTGTTGACTATGGGAATGAATGAATGAATGAATGACCACTGGCAAAAAGTGCCAGGATAAATGCTGCTTGAAAAGAATTAAACTGAAATGGAAAATACTGGCACAGCCTGCCGTGTAATATAGATGGGAGAACGGATACATATATTGCCCTATGCAGAGTTCTCCCTAGATTATGTTTTCTTTGATAACGTTGCAATGTTCATGTGATGTTCTATGTGTATATATTAGTATATACTATTTATGCATATAAATATTAGTGAATAATAATAGAAGCACTAAAGATTTTCCAAATTTATTTAAATGAGTTCAAATCAAAACTCAAGAATCTAGATTTACATGCATTAAAGAAAGGTAAAATTATAGCAAAATTAAAGTGAATGCAGGTTGTATAGATAGCTCAATTCCTATGATATAAAATTTAAATCCACAGGTGAAACTCTTGAAGCTCTTTACATGTCATATTCTGATCCCAGAGAGTAGAAAACTATTCAGCACGCAAAATCTCCATTCTCTCGATCCTGAAATCTATCAGTAGATACCCCAAATCCTCAAGGCACACTAACATTTTCTAGAAAAGAAGCCTTTTTAAAATCTAAGGTTACTGAAACTACAAAAACACCTATCAGACCCTCTGTGGCATTTTTTGCCCACGTGTCAATCAGCATGAGATGAGCCTTGGGCTGAGGCGGCCTCAGAACAAACACTGGCTTCTTCTTCCTGTAAATCAGCCCCAGCAGAGGATTCTGACTCAACTGGAGAATTTTCTTCCAGTTCAGCATATTCACCACAGCTTTCGTTCTCGGTTGTACCTTTATCACTATCGATGGCAACAGCTTCATCCCGAACTGCGCTGGTAACCTCTGACGTGGTTTCAGGGCTGACCTCTGCGGTTTCTCCCGTCCCCGCATCTGTCACCTCTGACCCAGTTTCAGCACCAGCGGCAGTGGTCTCCTCGGCAGCAGCCTCCGCATCGTCTGGACAGGGGGAAGCCTCTTCGATGACGGCAACTGTAGCACTGGGAAGCTCTGCAGCGTCCACCACCGGAGCTTCCACTGAAGGTACTTCGGGGGCTTCTGAACTGGCTTCCTCGGCATCCACAAGGTTCTCTTTTTCACCTTTAAAATTTAGGCCATGAAGCAAAGTATTAATTTAAAGAGCATGGGAAGACGGTGAGACACTGTGCAGTCATTTTAAAAAATGAGACAGATCAATAAGTACTGATATGACATGGTCTTCAAGGCGGTCTGTTCAGTGAAAAAAAAGCAAGGAAACGAGCAATGTATACAGTATGGGACTATTTGTGTTAGGACAAAAGGAGGGTAATATAGACCTAGAGTTATATTTGTAGAGACCCTCTCCTGGAGGACACAAAGAAACTGGTGTTATTGGTTGCCTCTGGGGAGGTAAAATGAAAGGTCTGCTCTTCTGAAAACCCTTTTGAATCTGTTGAACTTAAGAAAATAATAATTTCATGTGATTATTTATTTTAAATACAAACCATGAAAATAAACAGGCAATGTGTCACGTGAAATAGCATGGAAAAGTAGCTAACTTACTAGCTGATGACTCGGAAAAGCCACTAGTCCTCCCTCAACCTCAGTTTTGTCATCTGTAAAATGGGGATATTAATAATACCTACCTCACGGAACTATTGGGAGGATTGACTACAATAATATGTATGAAGAGGGGTTTAAAACCAAGGAAGTGCTATGGAAAGGTTAAAACTGGTCCATGAGCAGCTGTTTTCTTTGTCCCTAAATAGTGATCATGGTATTGGATAATAATGGCCTTATAGTTGAGATGGAAAAAAGTATGGTTTAAAGCAAGCAGTTTAGGCAAGAAATATACATTAGGGTGAAAATGTCAAATTTCTGTTCTTACAAGTTGCCATTTTATCAGTCAGATCAACTGAGGGACTCAGTGGACATGACTGAATCTACTAATGTCACTGCACACAGGTGGTCTTAGCCAAAACTGAAACAAAATTTCATGACTTAAAAAAAATTAAGGAGAGAAATGAAAGGTCAGGCTGCTGAGAGAGACAGATACTAAAATTATGCCTGCATGAATGGAAACCTGAGTAGGGGAAAAGTAATATTACCACACAAAGAAGTCAAAGCTGCTGGTCAGCAGATTAAATGTACAATGTTTTCATTTACCAAATGCTCTCATCCAAAACCTCTAACAATATTCTTTAGGCTTTGGTTGGACTTTCCCTTCCTGAATGAACTTCTACCCAGAGTCATTTTGGATTAAGTTAGTAAAGAAGCCAAAAACAAATACTGTCCGTTGCTAGACTAAGATAATGAAAATCAGTGCCTCAAGGAAAAAGAAAAGAGTAAATTCACTTTACCTGGAAGTGGATGTAACTCTGCTTTGGTTTTTTCTTTCAAATTCGTTATACGATCGCTGTGTTTGGCTTTCTCTGATGTGATTCTCTTGTAAGTCTGAAAGTAAATGTGTGCTTAAGTTTATTTCTTGAGCTCTAAGATTCATCATGCCAAGTTTAAAGCTATCTACAGTTCAAACAGGAGAAACCAATACACACCATCTACTCTTTTATTTCCCCTCTGGAAATCTTTGTCAATAAGTAGAATGCTTTAAAAAAGGAAAGAAACAAATGTTCTAACAGAGGTCAAAGATAACTGAAAACACACAAGGTGGATAGATAAAGACCAAGAAGAAAAAAAAATTATGCTAGAATCAAAATATTCTGACAGGCATTTGCAAATATCCTGTGGTATTTATCTCAGAGTAATGGAAATTTATATGCACACAAAAACCTGTACACAAATGTTCATGGTAGCTTTATTTGTAATCCAAAAACTGGAACCAGTCCAGACGTCCTAAAACCGGTGAACCGTTACACAGACTGTGGTACGTCCAGGACATAGGACACTACTCAGCCATAAAAGGGATGAACTATAGATACAGGAAACAATTTGGATGAATCTCCAGGTAAATTATGCTGAGTGAAAAAAGCCAATCTCAAAAGGTTGCACACCTTAGGATTCCATTTATGTAACATTACTCTTATTATTATTAATTTTTTTTGGTAATGTTCTTGAAATGACAAGAAATACAGAAATAGAGAACAGATGGGTAGTTGTCAGGAGGAAGGGAGGGGGAGAGCAGGCGGGAAGTGAGTACAATTACAAAAGAACAATACATGGGACCCTTGTGGTGATGGGACAGTCTTGTCTCTTGACTGTGGTGGTGAATACACGAATCTACACATGTGATAAAATTGCTTAGGACTAAATACATGCACTTGAGCGTACACACACACACACACACGCACAAGTGCATGTAAAGCTGGTGGAATCTGAATAAGGCCTATGGATCGTATCCATGTCAGTTTCCTGGCTGTGATATTGTTTTATAGTTAGCAAAGATGTTGTCACTGGAGGAAATGAGCTCTCTCTGTATTAGTTCTTATAACTGCAGGTGAAACTCAATTCTCCCGCCATGAAAAGTTTTCCAAAAGTCTTCCAAAATGACCCATTTGTAGACCCCAATGAAGATTCCTTAAGTCAGCTAGGTTTAGTCATTAAAAGCAGTAATATGACTGACCCACAGGTTACTTGAGAAACAAAATTGGTAATAAAGCTATCTTAATCTTAGATAAAATGTGCAGGCCTCCTTTCATTTCAAAATCAAGTAGTAATCTCTGGCGTATTCATATTAGACAATGATATTTTAAAAATGAAAATCTCGGGCTTCCCTGGTGGCGCAGTGGTTGAGAGTCCGCCTGCCGATGCCGGGGACACGGGTTCATGCCCCGGTCCGGGAAGATCCCACATGCCGCGGAGCGGCTGGGCCCGTGAGCCATGGCCGCTGAGCCTGCGCATCTGGAGCCTGTGCTCCGCAACGGAAGAGGCCACAACAGTGAGAGGCCCGCGTACCGCAAAAACAAAAAAGAAAATCTCACTAGATAATATTGTTCATATTATCTCAGCTTTAAAAAATGTTGGTAGATATTTCTCTCTTAGTGGCAAGTAGGATGACAGATTTTTAAAATTTGCATATTTATATGTAGTATTTTCTAAATTTTTAATCATTATAAACCATTGACCTCATTAAAAGTTATCCTATGCAAATTACAAACCATTTTATAGTATGTTAAAATTAGACTGTGAAAATGGAAAACTCCATAAGCTCGGGGGTGGAAATATTGCAAAAGTGGCCCTTGAACAAACCCTCAGGGTTTGGTGAATTCTGACTTGAATCATCTGGCTTTGAAACACACAGAGCAAACAGGATCAGCAGGAATGACAGTCAACATTTTTGTATAAAAGCAGGGAATATTTCCTAGTGGGGTGGGAGCTCCTGACTTGTACACCGAGTCAGCACCCTCAGTTCTCAGTACAGTAAAGCTGAACCTGTGCCCAAGTTCATGTCCCTGAAATGGCCATCCCAGCAGCAACATCCCTAGGACATTAGTCTTATTGCTCAAGGGGCTAAAACACAATTTAGCTACTAAAGCAGAATCAAAGAGATATAAGAATAATTCACACTCATGTGTAACCCAGAGGATCTAGCTTTTTCAAATCGAACATTATCAAGCACAGAGTAGAAGAAAGGTCTATTAGAAGAGAGAGTCTCAAAATTAGACTTTGACGTTATTTCCAAATGATATTTTGTATTTATTAAACGTAAGCATCTAAAATCTACCACAGCTTTTAGAAACCAGTCTGGCATTTTGCTCTCCCAAGATACCCAGACCTTCAAAAAATGGAAGTGACCTGGGCCTTACTCAGATTTTCAGAGGCTCTGGTAGTAGATTTTACTTGGAAATGAAAAAGTGCTCTTACCTAGGGAGCATCAGATAAACCTAATATAGAATTTATTTTAGTGCAGGACAAGGAAGGGAAGGGGAGGGCTAGAATATGGGTTTTTGAGTGCCTCAGGTTCTGTATTTCCTCCTGAAAGTAGCCTAAGATTCTTGGGAATGAAGGCTTCCAACATTCCAGATAAAAACTACATAATCTGGGCTTCCCTGGTGGCTCAGTGGTTGAGAGTTCGCCTGCCGATGCAGGGGACGCGGGTTCGTGCCCCGGTCCGGGAAGATCCCACGTGCCGCGGAGCGGCTGGGCCCGTGAGCCATGGCCACTGAGCCTGCGCGTCTGGAGCCTGTGCTCCGCAACGGGAGAGGCCACAACAGTGAGAGGCCCGCGTACCGCAAAACAACAACAACAACAACAAAAAAACTACATAATCTTAGAGGTGGAAAGGGACTTAGAGATCATCACCTTGTCCAATTTCCATTCCCACTGTGAGAGAACAAGGCCAGAAAGAGCTCTCAGGCATAGCCAGTTTCTAACCAGCCAGTTAAGATTGCTTTTGCAAAGGAGGATTTAGCGGACTGCAGAGGTTCACGTCTGGCACTGGTAAACATGATTAGGGGTGTAGCGATGTCCAGATGAAATTCAGTCTTCCAGCTTCCCACATAATCACATGGCCTAGTTTAATCTGTTTTCCAGTGGCCTATATCCAACTATAGCAGCCCTAGGCAGTGAATTCAATATTAAGCAGTAGAAAGATGGTAAAGCAAAGGAATCTGGGTATGAGTGAAAGCGGGTAGATTAGTGGAAGACAATAATATAAGTGACATGTTTGAACTTTCCTGGCTTCTTGAGGCTTTCACGTTTCTGAAGAGTAGGATATGTATTTTGCTTTCATTACCTACATAGTCCTTTAAACTGCTCCTAGTTAGGACTAAAAATCTCTTTATGCATATTTCTGTAAGGTCAAACCAAAATGTAGTGATTGTGTAGTCTCATGGTTCCTGAAGAATATATACTTATTCTCATTTTATTCATAATAAAGATTAGGTTTCAGTTTAGAAAGTTTATGGCAAAAGGAGGAATGATTCAAATCAATAGGATTATTTATTTATTTATTTTTGGCCACACAGTGCAGCTTACGGGATCTTAGTTCCCCAACCAGGGATTGCACTGGGCCCACAGCAGGGAAAGCACTGAGTCCCAACCCCTGGACCTCCAGGGAATTCCTAGAATTATCTTATTAACTCACAAATGTTTCTTTTTTTTTTTTAGCTCCAAAATCATACTATTAAAAGCTTTGTTTTATGGTGTTTACTTGTGGGGAGTGGATAAGGAAGACCAGGGAGGAAAACATTCTTTTGATTTTATATATGTCTATTTTGAATTTTAAAAAAATATATAGATAAATACTACTTTTAAAAAATAAAAGTAAAGGGCTTCCCTGGTGGCACAGTGGTTGGGATACGGGTTCGTGCCCCGGGCTGGGAAGATCCCACATGTCATGGAGCGGCTGGGCCCGTGAGCCACGGCCGCTGAGCCTGCGCGTCCGGAGCCTGTGCTCCGCAACGGGAGAGGCCACAACAGTGAGAGGCCCGCATACCGGAAAAAAAATAAAATTAAAATAATAAATAAAAGTAAAGATGTAAAGCTAATAAAAAACTATGGAGACAGTTAAAAGACTAGGGGGAGAGAGGGAAGAATGAATGGTTGGAGCACAGGGGATTTTTAGGGCAATGAAACTATTCTGTGTGCTACTGTAATGGTGGATACATGTCAGTATATATTTGTTAAAACCCATATAATGTACAACACGGAGTGAACCCTCATGTAAACTACAGCCTTTAGTCAATAATAATGTATCAGTGTTGACCCATCAGTTGTAACAAATGTATCTCACTAAAGCAAGGTTGTTGATTTGGGAAAGGGGGGCAGAGGGGTAAGAGGAAGTATATGGGAATTCTCTGTACTTTCTGCTTATTTTTCTGTAAACGTAAAACTGCTCCAAAAAATAAAGTCTATTAATTTATTTTTGGCCGTGTTATGCAGCATGGGGAATCTCTGTTCCCTGACCAGGGATGGAACTCGCACCCCCTGCAGTAGAAGCATGGAGTCTTAACTACTGGACCACCAGGGAAGTCCCATAAAGTCTGTTAATTTTTAAAACATTTCTCTCTCAAAACAGTTCTTGTCAAATGTTAATGATAGTACCTACCTTAAAGAATTGTTGTAATAATTAAATGAGCCATGAGTCTGTCACGTGGTAAACACTCGAATGTCAGCCATTAGTACTGTTAGTATTTATAATATCATTGCTTTTAATGAAAGTCATCCATAGTTAGTGGTAGTAAGTATTTTATACTTAAAAATTTTTTTCATAATCTTATATATTTAATTAATCCCATGTCTTGATCTTGACATTGCTTTGAGTTTTATCACAGGTTGTAAAATATATGAATTCCTGAGCACCAAGGTTATTAAAACACTTACATAATATCCACCAGCACTGACTGTGACACCTACAACCAGATAATAGATCATATTTGATCCAGACGATCCAGGGAATTTGTTAGATGACATCCAGCGAAGAGATGCTAGGAAAACAAGTTTAAACACAGTTAGCTCCACCACGGGCAAAACTATTTTAGATGATTACATCCAAAAAAATGTTTTACCCCTCAGTGAACCTAGAATCTATTAACATCAACTGATGTTAGCTTAAAGGAATACAGTATTACAAGGTAGGGTAATGATTCCACTTGACATTTTCTTAATCTAATTTGATAATTACTTATGAAACCTGTCATCCTGATGCTGCGCATCATGCTTTACTTCGAAGGAATGCAGACGTGGGTGAGGAGAAATGACAAAGCGTTAAACAATTTTAACAGTCAAACGAGATGCATGTGAGCAAAAGAAATCCATTTATTGTATATTCTACACCACAGGATTCAATGGAAAAGATATTTTTACAAAAAGTTAATTAAATACATTTGTGCTTAAAGTTTATATGTTAAATAAAATTTATGTTGAAATCCAACACATTTCTATAAATCTATATTACAAATGTAGACATAGAAAGAAACTCTAATTCTTCTAATATAAAACCTTTAAAGACGGGCAGATAGAAGCTTTTTAAAAAATTTTTTTATTTATATTTTAACATCTTTATTGGAGTATAATTGCTTTACAATCGTGTGTTAGTTTTTGCTTTATAACAAAGTGATTCAGCTATACATATACATATATCCCCATATCTCCTCCCTCTGTGTCTCCCTCCCACCCTCCCTTTCCCAGCCCTCTAGGTGGTCACAAAGCACTGAGCTGATCTCCCTGTGCTATGCGGCTGCTTCCCACTAGCTATCTATTTTACATTTGGTAGTGTATATATGTCCGTGCCACTCTCTTACTTCGTCCCAGCTTCCCCTTCCCCTTCCCCGTGTCCTCAAGTCCATTCTCTACATCTGCATCTTTATTCCTGTCCTGTCCCTAGGTTCTTCAGAACCTTTTTTTTTTTTTTTTTAGATTCCATATATATGTGTTAGCATACGGTATTTGTTTTTCTCTTTCTGACTTACTTCACTCTGTATGACAGTCTCCAGGTCCATCCACCTCACTACAAATAACTCAGTTTTGTTTCTTTTTATGGCTGAGTAATATTCCATTGTATATATGTGTCACATCTTCTTTATTCATTCATTTGTCGATGGACACTTAGGTTGCTTCCATGTCCTGGCTATTGTAAATAGAGCTGCAGTGAACATTGTGGTACATGACTCGTTTTGAATTATGGTTTTCTCAGGGTATATGCCCAGTAGTGGGATTGCTGGGTCGTATGGTAGTTCTATTTTTAGTGTTTTAAGGAACCTCCATACTGTTCTCCATAGTGGCTATCAATTTACATTCCCACCAGATATAAGCTCTTTTAAGACAAACGTTGCCATAAGGTCATATCTAAAATAGAAGGGCAATTTTGTACAAACTAATAGAAATAGATTAAGGTACTGTATTATTCTATTTAAATATATTAACTCTATAGTGCTAGAATTTGTATATACCATATGCTATGGAATTGAAATTTTTATGATAGACTCAAAGCTAGAAGAAGCTTAAAGTTCATATAGCTCAAATTCTCTATTTTAAAGATAAAGAGGGACTTCCCTCGTGGCTCAGTGGTTAAGAGTCCACCTGCCAATGCAGGGGACACAGGTTTGATCTCTGCTCTGGGAAGATCCCACATGCCTAGGAGCAACTAAGCCCGTGCACCGCAACTACTGAGCCTGCGCTCTAGAGCCCGTGAGCCACAACTACTGAACCTGCATGCCACAACTACTGAAGCCCGTGCACCTAGAGCCTGTGTCCGCAACAAGAGAAGCCACTGCAACGAGAAGCCCGTGCACCGCAACGTAGAGTAGCCCCTGCTCGCCGCAACTAGAGAAAGCCCGCGCGCAGCAATGAAGGCCCAACACAACCAAACATAAATAATAAATAAATAAATAAATTTATATTTTAAAAAAAGATTATAACTGTAGGAACTTCCCTCGCGGTCCAGTGGTTAAGACTCCACGCTTCCAATGCAGGGGGTGCAGGTTTGGTCCCTGGCTGGGGAACTAGGATCCCACATGCCGGAGGTGCAGCCAAAAAATAAAAATAAATAAATAAAACAAAATAATCTTTTTAAAAAAGAGTATAACTGTAAACACAACACACAAGGCCCCTAGCCTCAAAAAAGAGGGAAAAGATGTACAGGCGAATAATTGTAGACAAATAACTGCAATGCAGTGTGACAAATGCTGTAACAGATGAAAGCAGAAGCAACAATAGCATGAAAACGCAGTGAAAGGACTCAGCTAGCTGGCTCAAGGTAACTGCCACGATTGAAAAGACGTGACCTGAGCTTTGAAGGAAAGTAGGAGTTTGTCAGATAAACAAGGGGAGGGAAAATTGCATTGGAGGCAGAAGGCAGAGCGTGTGCAAAAGCATGAGACAGTGTGACTAGGAAAACTCAATGTATTTTGATGTGGCCTGACACAGAGAATAAGGGTGTAGGGACCTGGAAGAAGTTATGATTTACAGAAAGCAAATCTCAAGACATTTGCACAAACTACGAATCTCCGTAGTAGCAAAATTGGGAAGATTTTGTATATATGTTCTTAGTTTGGATATAAATGATCATCTCTTAGAAAAAAACAATTTTTCCCTACAAATGTGCCCTGAGAGGCTATGGTAAGAGGTTATGTCTTTGACTTCTAGTGGAGCTTTTGTTGGTTTAAAACTACAGCTGTGATTAAATAGGGAATATATAGCTTTCATGGTTGGCAACCAGTAATAAATATCAAAATGTTTTTTTAGGGCTTCCCTGGTGGCGCAGTGGTTGAGAGTCCGCCTGCTGATGCATGGGACACGGGTTCGTGCCCCCGTCTGGGAAGATCCCACACGCCATGGAGCGGCTGGGCCCGTGAGCCATGGCCGCTGAGCCTGCGCGTCCGGAGCCTGCGCGTCCGGAGCCTGCGCTCCGCAACGGGAGAGGCCACAACAGTAAGAGGCATAAGAATAAGAGGCCTGCGTACCACAAAAAAAAAAAAAAATAAAAAAAAGTTTTTTTAAATAGGAAGAAATAGAGAAAATTACAGAGGTTTAAGTAAAGACAAATACAATTATGGCAGAGTTATTTAAAAGAGCAATGAAATTCGAAATAAATATTTGGTAAAGATTAGACAAATTTTAGCATATTCATAAATGTGAAACAGATATTTTAATTTTTGCAGAAGACTGTCTACACGAGAAAATATTTACAATATATTAAGTGAAAAGTTATAGCAAAATAATCTTTACAGGACTATCCCAGATTACGTACATTGTGTAAGCAGTGTACATAAGAAAAAAAAATGCAGGAAGGCGGAAAAAAGGTCTGGAACACCACTTACACTAAAATGTAGATAAATAGTTGTATTCACTAAGTGGTAGAATTACAGGCGACTTCTAGTTTGTCTTTCTGAGTTTTTTCGGTGATCTACTGTAAACCTAATTTATTTATTCATTAAAATTTTACATTTTTAAAAGCAAAAACCAGAGAACAAAATTTGATGAGGCACGGTTAAACTTTTATCCTTCAATAAACTGAAACAATTTCATTTTTCATCCAAATTGGAAGTACCAATACAAGGTTAATGTCCATGACCGAAGCCAAATTTCCAGTCAATTACAGTTCAGAAAATACATAAATGAATCAACACTACAAAAAAGTAATTAGATGAAAATGAGGAAAAGACCAGTACTGCTACAACCAGTATTGCTAACTACCTGTTCAGAATTTTCAAACTTCTTTTCTTTTACCCCAAGTTGGGGAGGAAATTATTTGAAATATGTGTAGCTACCAAAAAAGGATGTGTATGCGTGTCCGTGAGGACGGTGAGGGTTGCGTTCAGAGAGCTCGAAAGGCCACCGTCAGGGCCTTTTCCATCTCCCCACCCCCAATCACAACAGCCCCGTTATCTTCTGAACTTTCAAAGGAATGGCTTCCCCCTATTTCACCAGCGAAAAGTCTGCTCTGTCTTACTCGGCATAGAGATCAAGGAAAACGAAGACTCTTTATTTCTGTTACTGGAGGCAACTTCTTCTCAGTAGCATTTTCAGAGAAAAATAAAGCTAGTTACACATACCCTCCTTCCCTCCCACCATCACCATCACCACCGCAGGCCTAATCAAAGTGGAAACAAATTGGCCATGGAATTTTCCGCAGGAGTCGTTCTCTTTCTCCCCGACTCCAATGCAAGCCTTAGCAAGTGGGGCAAAGTGAAGGGAGAACTAAGAACTTTCCACGAGGTTGTCTAAGAGCCAGCGCCCCAGTCAGGGACGGAAAAGAGAAGATGCACGACGACTAGGAAAGAGCCGGCTGGGTCAGAACTGCTCGCTTGCGCAAACCTGGGCGCAGGGCCGCCGGCGGCTGGCAGGGAAAATGCTCTCCTGCTCACACTTCAGCACCTACGATGACCCAGGCCCTAGGCTAGGCGCGTTCGTGCGTATCAATTTTTATTTAATAAGCTTCCAGCTCGCACTGCCACTTCCCCTTCAGGAAATTCGCTCCCTTTCCCCGTGCTTTAGAAAATCTACAGGTGATGGATACAGGGGGGGGGACGCAGCCCAACAGCTGGAGGGCTCCAGATCTCTCTGCAGCCCCTGAGGAAAGCGTTTCGAAGCCCCTTCCTCACCGGGGATGCCACGGCCCAGGCTCGTGGCTGCCGAGTCCTGGACAGGTCTTGAGTCTATTTACTCAAGAGCATTTACCCAACTTCTACGCGGCCGGCACTGCCTTCCGCGCACCCTGCCGAGCCCGCAGACCAGGGTCCATCTTCCCACCCATTCCTCTGCTTCCTCGTGAAGTTGGAGAGCGCTTTGGGCCCTGTATTAAGACAAGGGGTAAGCTTTGCCGACTTTCGCCAGGCACTTTTCTAAGCGCTGTTAACTACATATTAACTCATTAAAACTCATTAGTGTCCCCATTTTGCAGATGAGGAAACTGAAGTGAAATCACTTGCCCAAGATCAAGATTCGAACCCAGGAAATCCAGTCCGGATCCAGAAGCCGCGCTGGAAAGGCACCCTACTTCCAAAGTCTCCAAGAATGTCGAGGTGATTTCCCGGCCACCCTCCCCCTTCTTCCCCGCCCCCCCACCATCCCCATCCCTATCCCCAATCTCAGGCTTCTGCTGCCGGGGTTGGCTTTGGCCCACGAAGGGCAGGCGGGAACCGGCGCGCCCGCGCGATCTGTGCGCGAGGCACCTGTCCTCCTCAGGCTTGGACGCCGGGAGAGGCCCCCCGGGCCAGCGCCTGCGACTCACCGTCCTTCCGGAGCGGCGCGGGGCCTGGGGGCGCCCGCAGAGGCAGCGCCAGGGTCTTGGAGACCGCCCTGCGGAGGTACATCGCGCCCGGCTCCCTGCACGCCGCTGCCGCTGTAGCCCCGCGGTGCTGCGGGGCGCGGGGAGCCCTGGCGAGCCCCGCCCCGGGGAGGGGCGCTGACCCCTGCCCGCCCCGCCCCCGCGGCCCCGTGGGGTTTGTGCGCAGGGGCTGGTCGTGCGCACCGTCCTCCCTCAACCCAATCTGCAGGCTCTGTCGCCTTCGCCTGGGCCCGAGAAGCCGATGGTGGCACTCTCGGAAAAGGGATGGAGAACCGAGAAGTCGCCGTCATCTGCCTGCCCTGTACTGTTCCAGTCAGTGGGACTCCTCAGAGCAGGATGAAATGTCTCGGGACTCGCATCCGGAATAAGACACAGACAGGATTTATCATGCCGTGTGCAAGCTGAACCCCCTTTCTCTCACGCACTCCGCTAGCTTTCCTAGGAGTGGAAAGGGTAGCTGGAAGTTCCCTGGAGATGGAGGAGGGGGGTAGCCTCAGCCTCCCATTAGTGCTCTGGGTGATGTTCAGAATCCTAAGAAAATTCCCGCTTCATGGCTGAATTTCTAGGCAATTCACGATTACAATGACTTTTAAATATAAACTCCAAAAATGCTGCATATTCCTCTATGGGATGTGAAGCTAGCATCTCCAAATCAACTAAAAACACTGAATTATTAGTTTCTCCCTCCAGATTTCAATCACTTGCCTCATTGTGGCGACAAGAATCTGTCATGGTTTGAACATGGAAACCAATAATGTATGCTTATAACATTTTCTAAGTGATTAATCTTTGGAAGGCACCATTTCCTACTACTATAACCCCTTAAGTATGTTTGGCACTTGACAGTTTATAAAGCACTTTCACATAATTTTCTCCTTTAATTTTTATTTCATCGCTCTGAGGAAGGTGGCAATTACTCGGTTTAGCAAACGACCAGGTGGTGGGGAGGAATTTTCAAGGACCGATGGTTACGATTTTTTTTTTTTTTAAAGGACATGAACATAGTGCTTCTAGTTCCAAGTTCTCTTGGCATGTTACAGGCAAACTACTTGCTCATTTGCTAGGTGAATAACTAAACACTCCTCAGAGGTTCTCGTTCTGAACCCAATTCTAATAATATTTAATATAGTCTCATTTAAGGAGTACAAGCCAATGATCAGAACTAGTTTTGTTTTTTTTTTTTTCCGGTATGCGGGCCTCTCACTGTTGTGGCCTCTCCCGTTGCGCAGCACAGGCTCCGGACGCGCAGGCTCAGCGGCCATGGCTCACGGGCCCAGCCGCTCCGCGGCATGTGGGATCTTCCCGGACCGGGGCACGAACCCGTGTCCCCTGCATCGGCAGGCGGACTCTCAACCACTGCGCCACCAGGGAAGCCCCAGAACTAGTTTTTTGATGCTCAGTCACTAGCTATTCCTAGTGATTAAACCTTAAGAGCAAATAGGTAATCTGTGTTAATGAGAGGTCAGATTTAGACTTCCAAGCCCCAAAGAAGGGGCTAGACCCAGACCCTCCACCAAGAAGTTAGGTAGTCCTGAAAGTAACAAAATGCAGATTCGTACACTTGCTACCTTTGCCCAGCATCAAGTATACGTCCTAGGATGAACTGCTAGCAGCTAGTACAGACTGACAAATCAAATCAAATCTGTGGGGAGAGCTCCTAACCATTTCCAATTTAGTGCAGCTCAATTTAAAATTAAAAGAGAAAACAAATCTGTTTACCACTACAGCTCATTCCTTCTTTGGTCTACTTAGGGCTGAATTTTGACTTCGTTGCCAGGGAGAGGAAATAGTCAAAGGCAGTAAATGCATTTTAATGGGTATCCACATGAGTGAAATGTGGATAACTCCTCTATTGTGTTGCTGTCAGCTGTAAAGCACATTAGGTAGAAAACACGCTCAGCTAGTTGGAGAAGGCAGCGCTAGACTCTGACTTCCAGCCTGAGCCGAAGCTCCAGGCCCACTTACAATGTTCTGATGCCTGTCAGCGCGCACATGATAGGATCCATTATAGTCCACCACCTCATCTTATGGTAAGGTCCAGCGGGGAGTTTATCATGTCCTCTAGGTTGGATGTGGCTATCCCAGCTGGCAAAGGCAAGAACTGTGAGATAAGTAGTGCTACTTCTCCACATCCCTTTTCATCTTAGCTAAAAGCTCATGGCTCTTGGATCAAAGGGAATTTGCCACCTACTCTACTGCTCCTGTAGGATACGTGGCTTTCCATTTTGATGTCGAACTCTTCCCACATTTTGATGAAACACTTCCCAAGAAAGGACATGCCTGTGGGGTGTCAAATTCACTCTGTAGCAAGCTGTCTCTCCAGAACCCTGAGAGAATTTTAACAGCAGGTCTTCGCCATACAAGACTGTGTTAAGGCTGAGACAGTAGTTTCCCAGCTGTTAGTCACACTGTTTATAATGCTGCCCTTGAGCACATCCTTGACATTTCTCTTGGTCTTGTTAGGAAAACAAGAACTTAGGGTTAGAGTTAACTTGGTTTATCTAAGATGATCTCCACCTAACTGTGATTGTTGACAAAGACAATATTAGTTTTGAAAACATATTGTAAGAGAGGGAGCTCACGAAGCTCCCTAACCACTGGCACTAATAGTCATACTTACTCAAGGCTTAAGTTCCATATAATTAAAGGCAATTCTCAAAGATTGAGTGATTTCCTAGGCTCCACAGAAAGCTAGAAACAGCTTTGTTTTTTTTTTTTAATATTAAATCCCTAAGCTATAACCTGTACTTTCAACAGATCAATACGGATATAAAGTGAAACAATTTAGAAGAGTATCTAGGAAGACAAATTGGAAAGCAATCTGAAAAAGTGCTGATAAGCACGCTTTTTTTTTAACATCTTAATTGGAGTATAATTGCTTTACAATGGTTAGTTTCTGCTGTATAACCAAGTGAATCAGCTATATGTATACATATATCCCCATATCCCCTCCCTCTTGCGTCTCCCTCCCACCCTCGCTATCCCACCGCTCTAGGTGGTCACAAAGCACTGAGCTGATCTCCCTGTGCTACGTGGCTGCTTCCCACTAGCTATCTGTTTTACATTTGGTATGCACGCTTTTGATGGCCTAAAATATTTCGATAAAATGAAGGAGAAAGGGCAATCAAGATGGTAAATTCTTAAACTATTCTTGGAGGTTCCTCAGTACTCTTCCCATCTATTCACTTTCTCTTCTGTAGTAAAATAAACATGACATTCCCTACCCCTTCCATATTTTCCTAAGGCTACCATAACAAATTACTACAGACTTGGATGGCTTAAAACAACAAACTTTATTCTCTCACAGTTCTGGAGGTTAGAAGTCTGAAGTCAAGGTGTGAAACATGCAGGCAAGAACCCTTCCAGCTTCTGACGTTTACCGGTAATCCTTGCTTTCCACATGCATCACTCCAGTCCCTGCCTCCATCATTCCTGTCTTCTCCCTGTGTGTCTGTGTCTCTTCTCCTTAGAAACATACAAGTCACAGTGGGCTAAGGGCCCACTCTACTCCAGTATACTCATTTTAACTAATTATATCTGCAAATACCCTATTTCCAAATAAGGTTACATTCTGAGATAATGGGGGCTAGGACTTCAACATATCTTTTTGGGGACCAAAATTTAACCCATAACAACTTCTTATACTTAAAACTGAGCTCCTATAGCTTGGTTTTTTTTTCCTACGGCAACTTAAGAAACTAATTTAATGACTATCTCACAGACACTGAATCTGAAAAAAAAGGTCCGATTTTGATCTAATAAAAAACTTGACAACGTTTGACATATGAATTTGTCTGTTATCTTCTTTTTTATGGAAATTCTTTTACATTATTGGTAAAGGAACCATCACTTGACCAAGTTCTTCTTAGGAGTTGTGTATCAGAACGATTCTTGTTCAGTCCAGCTAAAACATCTCACTTTAAGAGACTACTGACTGTAGCCCTCTCTTTACAATGTGGGCTGGGGAAGAGACGGTCTGTGTGCAAAGGAAATAAAGCACATAGGCAGGAAGCAGAGCCCAGAGCAAAAGTCGGGATAACATTTGAATGCCAGGCCCCAATTATGCCTGGGCTCAGGTGCATGCCTGTTACGGCAGTCTGTGAGTCACTCTGTATCCTCATAACCTTCTTTTAGTTTAATGTAATTTGAGTTAGGTTTCAATATTTAGTTTAGAAAGCATCTCTCACCAGCGCCCCTGTGTGGCACAACTCTAGGAGGTGTTACTGAAGAGTAATCTGCATCTGTACTGTCCAATACGGCAGCCACCAGCCCCATGTGGCTATTTAATGAAAAGGAAATAAAACTAAAAAAAATGCAGTCACATTAATCGCATTCCAAATGCTCAGTAGCCACATGGGAGTAGTGGCCACTACGCTGGCTAGCACAGGCAGAACATGTCCATCACCGAAGGTTCTTTAGGACAGCCCTAGTCTTCATGAATGGCTCCCCCTGGAGTTACAGGCACGATCAAGAAGAAAGTCCACACAGGGCAGCTTTATATTCAAGGCCTGACATACAGTAAATCTTGCTTGTTAAAGCTGTATTTTATTTCCAACTAAGGTTATCAGTTTCCAGAATTTCAAGTGTCTTAGAGTTTTCTGTTCCCTTTAGGGATGTGAATTTTAAGTGTCTCTTTTAGGGTAAAGTTCCTTGAACTGGGAGTTGATACCTGACTTCTTGGTCCATTACCATGTGACAGTATTAGTTTCCTACTGCTGCTATAACAAACTTAGTGGTTTAAAACAACACAAATTTATTATCTTACATTTTTGTAGATGAGAAATCCGACATGGGTCTCACTGGGCTGAAGTTAAGGTGTCAGCAAGGCTGTTACTTTCCGGAGGCTCCAGGGTAGAATTTCTTTGACTTCTCTGTCCCTTGGCTCTTGGCCCTCTTTCATCTTCAAAGCTAGCAATGGCCGGCTGAACCATCCTCATATCACAACACTCTGACACATACTGGTGCCTCCCTCTTCCACTTCTAAGGACCCTTGTGATTACATGAGGCCCAACCAGATAATCCAGGATAATCTCTCCATCTCAATGTCAGCTGATTAGCACACTTAATTCCATCTGCAACCTTAATTCCCCTTTGCCTAACCTAACCTAACATATATACAAATTCTGGGGAATAGGACATGGTCATCTTTAAGGGTCCATCATTCTACTTTCCAGTGATACTGGGCAAATGACTCTTTTCCTCTGGTTTTTGCATTTGTAAAATTATGCAACTGGTCTATATAACCCCCTAAGGTCCTTTCCAGTTCTACCACCTAGGACTCCAAATTGACAAAAGTTAATAGTTACTGTTTTATCTGGTCTTTCACTGAATTTGGATTAAATACTTATTCTGAGATAAGGTAACTCTGACTTTATGTTCAGAAGTGACTTCCAAAGGTATTGGGCCGTGAATCTCCCAGAGTAAGTGTTGGCCAGAGCCCAAAACACAAACAAAGCCATTTATAAGGCAATGAAACTTTCTATTTAACATCAGAATGGAGATACAAATAATACACTTTCAAATGTATAGTATTAATACATTAAGTGTTTAAATTATATGTTAATGCAGTGGCATATAAATAGGTGTTAACTGATTCACAAGAAAGGGTTTAAATGAGGGATAAATGAAGTGTCTTTTCATTTGTCTCTATTAGCTCTCACCAACTCCTTTTTTTGAATAGTCTGTTATTCATTGGATGAAAGTCGTGTGAGCAAAAAGAGGCCATACCGGTGTTAAAAAGAGTCACCCAAATGAAACTCATTCAAACTCAAGGAAATGGAGTCAGAAGAAACTCTGGTAAGAAGAAAATAGTATTTGGGTTCTTTTGTATTTTAAATAATAGAGTAGGAGTAGTTCTATCATCCTGATCACTAAATAAGTGTTCTGATTAGAAATCAGAAGTTGATAGAAGGACTAAATCCTCAGCAGTGATTTTTTTTAAATCTATATCCTTAAAAAGTTTTCTTACCAATGACCCAATTATCAGACGGCACTTTCCACATTAAAATACTTCTAGTAATTTACGTTAGAATTGACATTTTATACACTGTCACAATGTACATAATCTGAAGAATACAGAAGTATTTTTTAATTTAATTATGTGAAACACAAATGCTGACTCGACATATGTTCACATGTAACTCTTTCTCTCAGTTTACAGCTCAACAGATTGGTGAATCCAGAGGAACTGCTATAAACACTAATACCTATAATGGAAAAAAAAGAAAACTGTAGCATTAACCAGCAGAAGTAATATTAAAATTAGACCATTCTGAACAATGCACCTTAAAGTATCAGGGGAAGTCTAAAAAAACAAATCCACAAAGAATATCAACTCCTCATTTTATCTAAATTTTAGCAAGAAAAAAAATTTTTTTTTAAATCTTAGCTACAGGAGTAGCAAAAGCATCTGGTTTTGATTTAAAAAACTATTTCATTTTTATCTCTTGATTGACTGAAGTAGTGAAATGGGCAAGGTGATAATAATAGAACAAAATAATAGAACAAAATACATCTGTGATTACTATTTTATTCTCCAGCACATATAAGTTATCTACTTTAATCAACCTAATCCAAGAAAGCTGAGATTTATAAGGATGATTTTTCATTTTACAAAAGGATTAATATAGGATTTCTTTAAAAATATTTTCAGAAATATGGCACACATATACATATAAAATAAACTCACTCTTTTAAATAACAGACCATGCAGTGTATTCTATCTTATTCACAGCTAGGTTTTATCAGGAATTGTCCAACTGGGTGTTAGTTGTAATGACAATCATAATAAAATCGTCATGCAGTAAGAAGTTTAACAATTGAATGCCCTGTTCTCGTGGAATTTTACACTCATGTGTGGTATATGACAAACAGGTATTAAGAAATACATACACAAACAATGATAACTTGTCCTAAGTGCTATGAAGGTACTGTGTACAGATTTAGGGAAATATTAGATTTAGATTAGATTAGATTTAAGGAAATATGATTTAGATTAGATTTAAGGAAATATGATTTTGGTTTCATTCTTAAGCACAACTTCCTTTGAACACAGTCAAAGTGTAATGATTAAAAATGATTATGCTAAGAGATCCTTGAGCCAAGGTATTAATTCATAAATTAATTCATAAATTAATTCATAAATTTGTCACAGACAGGAATATAGGTGCTAAAAAGTATAAACCTAATGAAAAAAGTCAAAACACATTATTTAAAAGAGGTCAAATTAACTTGCATAGTCTATTCAATCCTAGAAAATCACATACTTACTGTATCGGTATTCCAAAAGTTTATTCCAACCCATTTCTTCTTTCATACTCTAAAACATCTTCATTATGTTGTTTGATGAGCTAGAAGTAGGTAAGAGTTAAAATTAGAAATGTAATCTTCCTGGCAACTTAAAGAGGAGAAGGAGAAGATCAACTAATGATATTTATATTTTGCAAGAGAAATAAGGATAGATTAAAAGAATTACAACTATTCTAGTTAGAAATAAAAGGCTAAAGGATACAGAAGTCCAAAAGCTATGAATGATATGTACTTGTTCACCACAATCTGACATACTATAAATTTGAGAAGGCAACCCTTAAAAGTTTAAATCCAACTTCTGCAAATAAATTACTTCACTCAGTGGGTAATTAATGGAACGGAGAGCCTTACCACAGAGGGGCTAAAGCAACAGGACAGAGCAGAACCTGGTTATTAGATGGGGTTGGTGGATGTGTACTATACTTCTAACCTCAGAAGTATGATACTGTGAGTGAACGACCAACCCACAACCCCCAACTATATATGTATTAATTAGATGTCACGGAGGACAGCCGCTTTCTCAGAACCACTGTCTGACAGAATATGCAACTAGAACGATGGCTGATATAGGGTGACATGTGTTGCAAAGATCCAATATCAATCAGAG